CAGATAATACCCACTTGACCTGACTTCAATGACTGTATGATCAGAGCTCAACCAGAAGAAGAAAGAAGAGGAAAAAAAAGAGTAATCTGATGCAATTTGATGAACTTGACCTACACCTATGGATGCAGTAACTCAAAAGAGGGAACAAATCCTTACAGCAAGAATCATTTCCATCCCCTCCACACACAGAGTAGACAGGGATGGGCAACTTGGACATTGGCTACCCAAAATGGGGCGGGGCTACAAAGGCAAGAAGTGACTGGCTTATAAGCTTTCAGGAGGGAACCTAGAGCCAGGGGGCATGGAGGAAGGCAGAATCTCCAATGAGTACCATCCAATCTGTCTAGGCGGTGCTCATGAAATGAAATACAGATGGGTCTCTTGTGATACAATAGTGAATAACTGTTATCAGGACTGATTGTGAGGGTTGGAAATGTAAAGGTAGAAGTTGTATAGCAAGGAAGGGAGTGATTAACTTTCCAGTCTAGGAGCAGAGGTCCCTAGGACCATCAATGGAGAAGAGCTGAGAGTGGGACCCTACCCAGAGAAGCAGTGATGCCTGAGATGGAGGCAGAGACGATGATGTGGCGCGATGGAGCAGCTGGGGACTTTAGATCCAGAGAGGGAGAGCTACTGTGTGCTGAAGACTGGGGGATGGGGGTGGGGGTAGGGGGGATAGTGCAGGGGGCAGGCTTGCAGTGTATACCCTTTGGTTGGTTAAACTATCATATAATTCACAATAAAACTATAAACTATCATATAATTCACAATAAACTATCATATAATTCACAATAAAACAATTTTAAAAAAAAGGTCGTTGGTTCAGACTCACCAGCTGTTCCTCAGAAACGCCATACAGTCACTTAACAACAACAACAAACTAGCCAAAGAAATCTAATAACAGACTCACATTTTACTGAAGAAATACAATGACCAATTTTCCAACAACCCCAGATAGCTGTGGGGATGTCATCAAAGCAGAAGGACAGACCGCCTCTATGGCTCAGGGTTTTCCTGGCACCCAGACTTGTGGAAGGAAAACCAAGTCTAACTTACCGGAGCTGTGTTCTTTTCATTGTTGAGGATTTGCTTTTGGAGTCTAAATCGGTTTGTACCATTCTCATAGCCTTTGGAATGCTGGGAGGAAACAGTTTAATTAGATCAATGGTTGAATCGACAGAAATCAAACCAAAAAGCTACCAAGGGGAAATGAGAGAAATAATTAGATAAAACAAAGGGCTAATCACTTTAATATCAAGGTCCCAGATCCTCAGATGGCAGAACTTAAGAATAAAATTCTTTCTTAAAGACTACTCCAGGGCCAGAGTTTATAGAAATGTAAAATGACGATCAAGTAAATTTAACGTTTCTCAGAGTCCTTGGGTACCGTAACCCTTCTTTTCAACTGCTAACCGACAGGTAGGGGTTTGAATCTACCCAGAAAGACCTGGTGATTTACTTTAGAAAAACCAGCCACTGAAAACCCTACATAGGGAACACAGTCCTATTCTGACACAAATGGGGTCACCAAGTGTTGAGCTCTGTTTGACAGCAACAAACAATGACATTCCTTATCAACGTTGACATTTTTTGAAAACTGTTTTGAAATGAAAAGGTGTTTAGAAACAACAGAGACCAAAGTTTTTCTCTAAGAAGTGAGGAAATGGAGGTCTTTCTTGTGTCACAACTGATTCAGAAGGGGGAACACACCCTTACTACTAAGCTTCTGCTCTGCAGAAGTGGGTGAAATATACCCAGACCTCCAACGAGAAAAAGGATGACTCAGAACCACCTCCCTGGGCCATATGGCCCAGTGCACCCTGGGGCAGCTCAGCACCATAGAAGCTCAGGAAGCTGCTTCCATAGTGGGGGAAGAGAAGAAAAGAAACCATAGCCTTTAGCCCCCGGTTCACAGAAATAAGCAGCAAGTCTCTGGCCTTGTATTTAACAGATGCTCTCTCCTCCTCCTGAAAGTTGGCCAAGAGGAAGATGCAGCACACACATCCACACAAAGCTCCTTGTACAAGTGGGGCCCGTTTTTCATCCTAGGCCTGACCACTGCTGGGTGGGAACAGAAATGTCCCAGGGCAGAAAGGCTGCTCCAGGAGAGCACACACATTTCCCCCAATTCTAGAGGCTGGCTGGTCCTCACACCAATAAGGTACTTCACTTCACAACTAAAAAAACCATTGATCTATGCCCTCCTGAAGCTAAAATTCATGCTTGGGGCAGGAAAATAGCTTTGAGAACACTTTGAAAATATCTACTCTAGCTTTAAAAAAAACTTCAAGTGGTGTTTAGCTTCCCCAAAGGCAGTGGTTTTCAAAATTGATTTCATTTGTTTCCTTATTTTTGTTTAACAAGTACCAGAACCCTGTTTTTCAAATACTCAAAAGCCCAATGTATAAAACATGGACCAGAGGAGACTGCCAGTTCCGTTCTGTGCACACCGCCAGGCTCTGTTCTGGGGACTGGAGATTCTGCAGTGACCAAGATAAGGCTTGCTCTCGTGGCTCTTACAGTCACTTGGGGGAGCCATGATAAACAGCGAAACTATCGTGAAACAACATCACTTCAGATAGGGACAAATGCTTTGAAAGGAGCTAGGGCCTTTTTCAGATGGTCCAGGAAGCTACCCTGAAGTGATGACATTTGAGCTGAGACACACCATACTCACCCTGGTGGGGAGCATTCCAACAGAAGACACACAGATACAAAGGGTGTGAGGCAGAAACAGGAAGTAAGAGGCGTGACTCAGGTAAGGCTATCACTATGGAGACTGGAGCATTATGCTCACTGAGGTGGGAGTGAGTCCCATCACATCAGGCCTAATGGGTCAACGCATGAGAAGGGTTTTGTGCAGAGCAAAGTGGGAGCCACTGGAGGGTAGCAGGCAAGGCAGTGACAACTTGTTTAAGAAAATCTTTCTAGGTGAAAAGTGGGAAGAACACATTTTAAAAAGGGAGCAAAAGTGGATTTCTTCCTGCAGGTAATGAGTGTGAGTTGACAGGAGTGATGATGGCAACTTGGATCAGGGTTGTTGTTGGTGGAATTGATTAGAAGTGTTTCCATTGCATGCACGCACACACACATACATACTCATAAGGGGGCTTTAAAAAGTTGGTGAACAAATGGAATTCTTCCTTGAAGTTTTTGAAGCCCCTGGTACATGTGTCTGTGCGTGTGTGCAGAACGGATGGAGCCTGCCAATGGGCTGGGTTTTGGGTTAATGGAAGGAGAAGCTGGGGTGACTCCTTCATGACTGAGGTAGGAAATGCTAGGGGCACACAAGAGGTCTATTCTGGACACATGCAGTCTGGTGACAACCAGAGGGCTGTGTCAGTGGGAACGTCAGGTGGGTAGCTGGATCTGTGACTGTGGAGCCCAGGGAAGAGGGTCATTTAGGTGCATATATGGAGGAATGAATGCACATGGGCCCGGAGGAGGTCACTGAGTGAAAGTAAGGAGATGGGGCTAAGGACTGGCTGCGGTGTTCCAGGCTGGGGGTCTGACAAAGCACTGTGGGCAGAAATAGCCAGCATGTTATACATCCCAGAAGGCAAAGGAAGAAAGATTTCATGGAGGGAGAGCACATCTGAGTTCCACACTGCCAACAAGCTGAGTGGGATGAGGCCGGAGCACTCACCCAGAGGATGTTGCTGTTGGCTTTGACCAAGGCCCTGTCAGTGGATGGTGGGGGCAGGGGCTGGCAGGGCTGGATGAGTAAAGACAGCAGGAAGAGCCAACTCCTCTGGGATCTGCTACAAGTGAGAGCAGAGGATGGGAGAGGGAAGTGACTGGAGTAGACATGAGGCAAGAGAGGCCTTCTTCTGAAACGGGTGGTACCACATGTGGTGGCAGGAGATTGGGTGAACAGCAGTGTGTGTGTGTGTGTGTGTGTGTGTGTGTGTGTGTGTGTAACTGCAGGCATTCGGGGCCTTGGGTGGGATGGGTGCAGTCAGTTCCCCATCAGTTCCTTTAGGAAGGCTGCTGACATGCACACAGATGAAGGATGCAGGGGCTGTGGGTGGGTGGGGTTTGGCTTGTATGAGCCCTCTTTGATTGTTTTTCTCAGTATCCCAGAGCACATGGTCAACTGAGTGTGAGGCAGACTATAGGACGTGAGGTCTGATGTGAAATGAAATTGATCAGGGCAATGTGGGCAACTGACCAGACAGGCTCGCTGACCCATCTGAGATTTGTGATCACCAGTGTGAAGTTTACTCAGCCACAGGTTCTTCCCCAGTCACATTTCCATGTCCCTGAAGGTAGACCAGGGTGTCCCCACTCCTTGTTAGACATAGTCAGTAGTTGAGCTTCTGAGTTTGGTCTGCTCTAACCTGGTGTCTCATTTGTGTTGCTATTGTTTCAGCCCTTTGCAAAGCTTGGCAGTTCTTGGAGGGTGGGGATTACATGTGAATCCCAGTGATTCTCTGTATAGAGCACGGTGGTGACTGGGACAGTTCAGAACACCTGGCAAACATGCACTGCCCCAGCAGATGACATGGGGCAGAGAGGAGGTCCTTACCCTTGACAGTGTGGATGAGCACTTGATGTCTTTCGGATCTGAAACATCAAAACACACAGAGACATTTATGAATCCAATGCTTCCCATTTCTACTAATGTAACATATTCAACCAAAAATAACATGATACCATTTTGTACTTTTATTAAGGAGAAAAGACAATGCCTGATGTAGGCCCGTGGGGGTGGGGGTGTAGGGTGCACCATGCCTTTGGGAAGCAGCTCGGCCTGCACACCAAGGGTATGCCTGGAGCCCACCTTGTCATCCAGCCACTCAGGGATGGTTTAACTCTTATGGGCTGACACATTTGAAAAGTTCACCAACAGACAATTCTTCAAAGAGTGATAGCAGATCACCAGTGGGAAAAAAAAGTGAAAATCAAGAAGAAGGCCACTTTTCACAATGCGCCAAATAGAAATAAGCAAGTATGTATACCGTACTGCCAGATCACAGAAAATACGTGGAGAGGATAAGTATCAGGAGGAACTACAAAGGCATGGGAGACATATTGGTGGGGGTTATGGGAGTGTGCCTTCAAGTCAATTCTGACTCATAGCAACACTGAATAGGGTTTCTGAGACTGGTCTTTTTATAATCTTTGATGAAACAATTTAGCTGTCTTGGAATACAACTGAGCTATACACCTAAACTCACTGCCGTTGAATGGATTCCAGTTCACAGTGACCCAATATATAATTTTCAAGACTAAATCTTTACAGAAACAGACTATCTCATCTTTCTTCCGTTGAGTAATTGGTAGGTTTGAACAGTCAGTCTTTTGGTTATTAGCCCAATGCTTAACCCATGGAGCCATTCGGGCTCCAACTAAGTGTTGTCTAGTTGGTTCTGATTCACAGTGACCCTGTATAGGGTTTCTGAGGAGGAGCTGAGCTTTAAAATCCTCAGTCTACTTCTCTCACAGGCTGTTTGAGAAGGAAAGTAGGAGCTTCCTTACCGGAAGGGCTGTGTCCTTGAACCCCGACAAGGACCGAGATCACTGCTGGCTGCACCACAGCCACAATGCAGGGCACTTTCAGTAGGCACTGCCCCACAGTGAGACCACAGCTCCTCAGCACACTGTATTCCAAGGATAAGCCTACAGTCCCTTCCTTGGGAAACTTGCGCAGCCCCCACAAAAAAGATTTTCCAGGGCTCTAGGTATGGCACTATAGGATAAGAACTGGACTGGAAGCCACAAAGTCAGTGGTTCAAATCCACCAGCTGCTCCTCGGAAACCCTGTACAGGACTGTTGAGTCAGAATCAACTCTACGGTATTTAACAACAAGAAACTTGCAAGATTACAACAACACACAGGACCTGGGCTAAAATGCTTAAACAGCAGCTTCACAGAGCAGACCCAGAAGGCAGATCAGGGAGGCCCTGCTCCTCTTGGGCCTGACCTAGAAGGGTGCAGGGGCAAAGACAAAGGAGCAGACTGGAAGGCTCCTTCAAAAAGCTCAGTGGCAAGGATGGAAAAACTGCTGCCTTTGGTGCCTACCCCACCTCAAGTCTACTGATAAGGGCCAAGAGGGAGCAAAGACAGCCTGCTTACAAGAAGGGTTCTGTTCTTAGTCACTGGGTTTGCTCACCAGTATTTACAGCTGGTTTCCATCTACCCGACATGTTTAACCCCGGTCACAGCAGGAGAGAATGGCATCCATACCCTAGGCTGAGAGCTTCTAATGGCTTTACTTGGTTTTACATAGATAGCACTTCTTGGTGATATGTCCTAGCTGACTCATTGAGCATGTCCCGATCCTGCCTTATCAGAGATCTACTGACAAGAGTCCCCTCAGCCTGAGAGAGGAGGGGACAGCACCAGGTTTAGAGGACTGCAGACTGGGCTTTCTGATTGCAGATACCCCCTTAGCACAGGCTCCTGAAAACCCATGGATCCCTGACATGGAAGATGTTGGAAAACTACAGCAACAATTCTTCCCACAAGACAGGTGAGAGGGGCTGCCTCAAAAGGGAAGTTCCAAAGGCAAAATATCCACAGTAGTGGACAGAAGATGAGAATCTTTATCAAAACCAAAGAATGCAAATGGAGAGGACTGCCACAGCCACAGGCCCTGAGGCTCTGGGTCTCCCTGTGGATTCCCCAGCCACTGGGCTGCGCCTGGGGGCCCCACCAGAAAAAAAAAAAAGCAGAAGGTAGGTGTGGGATTGTTGATAGGAGAATAAATGAATAGTTTATTTCATACAGATCAGCCCAAAGCTGGTTTCTATGAGACAGAGATGAAAGGTATCTCAAAGGTCCAACTCTTCCAAACCATTGTACGACTCCCATCCAGATGCACTGAAAATTACTATTAATTGGAATGCAAAAGTTGGAAACAAAGATAAAGGATCAGTGGTTGGAAAAGTATAACCTTGGTGATAGAAATGACACTGAAGATCGAATGATTGAATTTTTCAAAACCAAAGACTTAGTCATTAGAAATACCATTTTCCAACAACATAAATGGCAGCTATATATATAGATCTCACCAGATGCAACACACAGGAATCAAATCTACTTCCTCTGTATAAAGAGACAATGGAGAAACTTGTTATCATCAGCCAGAGCAAGGCCAGGAATTGACTGTGGAACAGACCCATCAATTTGCAAGTTCAAATTGAAGTTAAAATTGAAACAAGTCCATGAGAGCCAAGGTATGACCTTGAATATGGTGGTGGTGGTGGTGGGGTGCTGTGGAGTCGGTTCCAACTCATAGTGACCATGCATAGGGTTTCCGAAGCTGTAAGTCTTTATGGGAACAGAAGGCCTCATCTTTCTCCTGCGGAACAGCTGTTAGTTTCGAACTGTTGACCTTGAGGTTAGCAGTCCGATTCAGAATCACTATGCTACTATATCTCTTTGAGTATATCCCACTTGAATTCAGAGAGCATTTCAAGAGTAGATTTGACCTGTTGGCCACAGAACAAATTGTGAGATGACAGCAAAGAAATCATAAAGAAGCAAAAGGTCATTAAAATTATTCACCATAACAAAAAGATGGAACCAACCTAACGACTGTCAACTGGAAGAATAAACAAGCATTGTTGTATACATACAATGGAATGCTATTCAACCTTAACAGTTCACAATGTGGAGGAACATGGAGGACATTATGCTGAATAAAATTACTCAATCATAAAAAGACAAATATTGTACCAGACCACTATTACAAAAAGTCATGAAAAGGTTTTCACACTAAAAGAAACATTCTTTGGTGGTTACCAGGGGTAGGTGAGAAGATGAAGTAATTCACTTGCTAGATCATAGACCCATGTTAGCTTGGGTAAAGGGGAAGGCAGTATGCAACAAGAGGGAAGCTGGCAGAAGGATAATGAAGACATGGGAAGTCACAGGGAGGAGTGCAAGAGTTAAAGACAACTAAGATAAACAATGTTATATACACAATCCTACGGAGCTCTGATAGCGTAGTGGTTACAAATGGGGCTGCGAACCTTAAGGTCAGCAGTTCGAAACTACCAGCCGCTCCGCGGGAGAAAGATGAGGCTTTCTACTCCCGTAAAGATTTACACCCTCGGAAACCCTCTACAGGATCGCTATGGGTCGGAACCGACTCGATGGCACTTAACAACAACAACAAACATACACAATCCTGCAATAATGGTGATCTACAGCGTTGCTATGAGTCAGAACCAATTTGATGGCATTTAACAACAACAGAAGATATCTGGATAGGCGTGCAGGCTGAACAGGTGTGGGAAGTAAAGTGGGAGTATACCCACAAATGTATAAAAGTAGTAGCTGTTAAGTGCTGTCAAGTTAGTTCTGACTCACTGCAACCCTGTACAGGGTTTCTGTACAGGGTTTCTGAGGAGCAGTTGGGTTTGGACTTGTAACTTTGCACTTAGCAGTACAGTGCTTATACTACAGCACCACACCAGGACTGCATATAGAGATTGTTGTTGGCATTAACTAATGTTGAGTTGGTTCTGACCCACAGAAACATTGTAAAGCTCTTCCGAGGAGCAGTTGAGTTTGAACCAGCAACCCTGCGGCCCGGTGCTGATCCTACACCGCCACACCAGGCCTCCACAAAGGATATCCGTACATGAGTGTTTACCTTTCCTCCTCGCCTCTCTGTCACTTTGTTACACTGTGGTGGCTTGCGTGTTGCTGTGATGCTAGAAGCTATGGCACTAGTAATTTAAATAACAGCAGGTTCACCAATGGTGGACAGGAGTCAGTGGAGCTTCCAGATTAAAACACTAGGAAGAAGGAGATGCAGACTACTTTTAAATGTTTAGCCACTAAAAACTTTAATGAATAGCACCAGAATATTGTTAGATACAGTGCCAGAAAAGTGCCCCTCAGGTTGGAAGGCATCCAAGTACAACTGGGGAAAAGCTGACTCTCAAAGTAGGGCTGACCATGAAGACATGAATGGGGTACAGTTTTCAGGACCTTCATTTGCTAATGGGACACAACTCAAAATGAGGAGAAATAGCTGCAAACATCCATTAATAATCAGAACATGGAATGTAAGAAGTATGAATCTAGGAAAATTGGTAATTACCAAAAATGACATGGAACACATAAAGATCAATATTCTAGGCGTTAGTGAACTGAAATGGATTGATATCGGCCATTTGAAATCTGACAATTATACAGTTTACTATGACAGGAACAACAAATTCAAGAGGAATGGAATAGCATTCATCATCAAAAAGAACATTTCAATATCTATCTTAAAGTACAATGCCGTCTCTGATAGGATACTGTCCATATGCCTACATGGAGTCCTGGGGTGACGCTGGAGGATAAGTTGGGTTGAACTGCAAGCTTGGTGGTCCAAATCCTCCAGTCAGTCCTTGGAAATCCTATACAGGGTTGCCATGAGTCAGAACCGACTCAACGGCACTAAACAACAAGAACAACAAAACATGGATGACCAGTAGTCCTGATGTGGTGCTGTAAGATAAACATTGAACTGCTAACCACAAGGATGGTGCTTCAAACCCACCAGCTACTCTACTCCTTGGAAACCCTGAATAGGTCACTATGAGCTAGAACTCACATGGCA